CAATTATAAAAATCGTATGCCTTTCTATTAGGAACTTTATGGGTGATTAGGGTGGGTGTACATAGGATGAAGTCACCGATATACCTGAAAGCTGGTTTGTTAGGGATGAGCCGCTAATCACAAAATTGTAACTGCTTCCCATTATAAAGCCATTTCGCACATGATTGAAGTTATTCAATTTTTTTCCTTTCGGACAAATTGTTGATTTCAAACTTTCCATTTTATACTTTGATTCCGCAGCGAAGGTTATTGCCCAATGTGGGTATAAATTTTGTAACCAACATGCCAGTTGATCCCACTAGACCACTTTCAAACAAGTCCGCGACTTCAACCTCTCTTACGTACACCTAATCTAGTTTAGAGTAGGCACTATCGTACATGCATATGAGTTCAAAGTGAATTTTGATCACTTTTCGAAGTATGTAGCATCGTAGCAAGTTTTGAGCGTCTTGCATTCCATAAGTAGATTATTGAATCCAGTGAATAAGTTACATTATCTCATAAGAGAAGATTTATAATTGAAAGTATGTAGACGAATTACCAAAACCTCTTGTTCCTTGCAGTTTTTGAGTTTAAAGGAGATAGCATGAAATTATCTGACCGCCCATTACATTAAGACTAGCTTTTGCGGATGCGTATGCCAATATGTATTCCACAGAGGAAAAAAGCAAAATATTCAACGCGCAAGACCTTACTGGACCTATTTGATCTTCAGTTATTTGAAAAAATGCTATATCTGCAAACAACAATTCTGACAAGTTAGAAATACTTAGTGACCTGGCCGTTCTAAAAAAGCATGTCAAAACGCTGACCACTCATATCAAGATTGTCTTCCATATCTGCTAGACGATTTCTGAAAAATGTCTAGAAGTTCCATTCTGAGAAAGAAAGCTTGCGATATTGTTCAAGTACCCAAAATTCGCGCTACACAAACACGCAAAAGCGCAGAGGTTGAATTTATTTAGCCTCAAAACCAAAAATGAAAATCCTGCCCTTCTTATAGATGATTTCTGGGTTTTCATCACTGAATGAAAGATCTGGCGCATTATTCTCCGCGAAAAAAACCCTCACAACTTCTTTCAAAGTGTAGTTCAGCGAATATGGAAGAAACATTCGAAATTAGTGTTTTATGATGCATCT